TTTCTTGTTTAAAATCATTTTATGCGGTAGAAAAAATAAAAAACCCTAGTTAAATTTGATTCCCTCAGGGATGATGATGATGATGGTGATGATATATACAATTCAATTAGTAAATCTATTTAGGAAAACAACAATCCCAAATTTTATTTGTTTAGCATTTTGCTCATTCTATGTTGTTTCAGCTCAAGAAATCTTTTCTAAAAGAAAAAATTAAGTAAGCTGTAGAGACCATGAAGTTGTTAGCGTCATCCATTTAGTTGTTGCTTGTTGTGTGATTGACATTGCATGGCGGATATGAAGAAATAACCGAATTTTTGTAGGTTGGGAAAGGTGGGAAGGGAGAAAAATCTCATCTTTATGTCCTGTAGAGTTTTTTTTTTGAGTAATCTTTTACCAATGCCATATAATTCTTTCAAAAATTAGGTCATCTAAAAATATTCATGCCAATTGCAAAATCTTGGATGCTTACTTGCAAGAAGCCATGTCAAAAGGTAGCTAACCATGCTAGTTTCTTGGTATCATGCAGTTTGAACTTAAGAATGTAAGAAAAGAATAAAATTAAGGCACCTTTTTGTTCCAAGACTATCTCTTTTAAGGTGGAAAATGAATGGATAAACTCATTTGTTTATGATGATAACCAGAGCTTGTGGTTGCTTATGATAGATAATGTCTGTTGCAATGTGTAATTATTATACAGATTTTATTTTTTAATAAATACCAGTCGTTGTTTAATAGTCAAGTAAAATGGTTAACCGGGTGTGTATGCAAATTACTTTTGATTGGACCTTCTCTTTGTTGTTTCATTGTGTTGATACTTTGGCATAGAATAAATTGATTAAGAAAATTCTTCATGTTATTTACAATTGGGCACAAATTTTTTTTTTTTTTTAATTGAAGTTGTTCTGTACCATTGTTCAAGATCAAGGCTTATTTCCATTTTTCAGTCAATAGAATGAATTAATTTAAACACCTCTGTGGAAGCATGGCCCTAAGTCAAGCAAAGTGGAGAAAAATGACTTATATTACACCCAATCTTTTTTGAATTAAAGGATAGTTGATTTCAGTTGTGTTAATTAGGTGGATGTAACGTATGGACCCTCCAGTTTGAGCAATATATATGATGTTTTGGCAAATCTTGATGACATTTCTTATCCTTATTCTTTAGGTTATTGAATAGGTTAACTGTTTTGCCTTTGGACAGATCTGGAATCCCTACCAAATATTCTACAAAAGAAGTATGCATTGATCCGTGATCTGGACAAAAGTTTGCAAGGTATCCTTTAAAGAGACAATTATTGCTTTGTAAATCCTCTCTTCATTTCTTCATTACCATAATTCTATTGTTAGTTTTCTGCTGCATCTAGTGGTATAGGTGAAAATTCCAAATGCCCAAAGAGTAAAATGGTCTTTTCTAGATGCTTTTATTGTTGTGTGACTTATGATCTTTGTTTTGACTTCAAGTTAGTAATGTGAGTTCAGTTATCAAGGTGATAATTTTTTGCAATACCCTCCCCCAGAACCCCAGGTTTATGTGGCTGTGTGAACTTGTGATGCCATGTTAGCATCTAGTTATGAAGCACATTTTTCCCTTTTGTTTTCTTTTTTATATGTAAAGATAAAGTTATGGTTATTGTAACATATCTGGCTTTGTTTTCTATTTTGGCTTTGCTTCCTGTTTCTAGTATCCTGTTTTCATTTGTGGCCTTAACCACATTTTTATGTTTTGTATATGAACAGAAATTGTGAGACAAAATGAACAACGTTGTGAACAAGAAATACAGGATATCAAGAATGGTGTGAGGGCTGGAAATATTACACCAGATACTTCACTTATTAGATTCTCAGATGAAGCACTAGATGAGCAAAAGCATAGC